CAGCATTACCGTACATCATAACATTTTGAAGGGCATGTTTTCAGGAATCTGTACACACAAATACGAGTAGTAAACCAACGTGCACCGCGGTCTAATGCGAATATTGTGATGATCTATTTCCTGAAAAGAGAAACGCTGCTGTGTAGTTTGTAAGGGTTGAGCTTAGAATGACATTAAAACTTGTTTTACTCGCTCATGTTATGTCCTGCTACTTGACAGTCACATTTCATACTAAATGTGGTCGTATTGGCACTTGTGTTGACGTAACGTATATTTTATACATGCCAAAATATTTTTTAAGAAGGTTTGAGGATGATTACATATGAGCTTATGTCTGATATATGGACAGTAATTGATCCAAAATGCATATTATGTGCACACCACAAATACAGACATTGTATGATGATATCACCTACCTCATGGGAATTATGGACCTAGTTCTTTTTTCCAGAAAGTTAAATAAAGGTAATGCTGTTTCTAAAGGTAATGGTGTTTCAGTAGCCATTGCTCTGATGTTTTTAGAGCGAGCTATTCTAATGGAAGTATGCTTGTAGACATTAATGTCCCATTGGCTTCTGTCATGGTCCACATTTTTGTGGGGTGACAGCATCACATGGGGGTTACGGGTGACAGCATCACAGGGGGTTAGAGGTGACAGCATCACATGGGGGTTACGGGTGACAGCATCACAGGGGGTTAGAGGTGACAGCATCACAGGGGGTTAGGGGTGACAGCATCACAGGGGGTTAGAGGTGACAGCATCACAGGGGGTTAGGGGTGACAGCATCACAGGGGGTTAGGGGTGACAGCATCACAGGGGGTTAGGGGTGACAGCATCACAGGGGGTTAGGGGTGACAGCATCACAGGGGGTTAGAGGTGACAGCATCACAGGGGGTTAGGGGTGACAGCATCACAGGGGGTTAGGGGTGACAGCATCACAGGGGGTTAGGGGTGACATCATAACAGGGGGTTAGGGCTGACATCATCATAGGGGGTTAGGGGTGACATCATCACAGGGGGTTAGGGGTGACATCATCACAGGGGGTTAGGGGTGACATCATCACATGGGGTTAGGGGTGACAGTATCACAGGGGGTTAGGGGTGACATCATCACATGGGGTTAGAGGTGACAGCATCAGGCCCGTTCTATCATCATCACTCTCAGGCATGTTCTATCATTACTCTTAGTCCCGTTCTTTCATCACTCTTAGTCCCGTTCTATCATCACTCTTAGTCCCGTTCTATCATCACTCTCAGGCCAGTTCTATCATCACTCTTAGTCCCGTTCTATCATCACTCTTAGTCCCGTTCTATCATCACTCTTAGTCCATGTTATATTATATTTTCTAGCTACAAGAGAGATTGGAGAGTGTTTTCATTACATTTAAAGGAACCATTGGCATATCAGGTTGGCAGTGAGTTGTGTTTTTATTTCAGATCACTTTTCATGCATTAGTTAAAAGCACCAGCTGAAGCTGGCTTTTGTTAGTTATGTTATTTTCGGTTGCTCACTGTCATGTTTGACATTAGGTCTGTCTTTTGATTTTATCTGAAGCTGCACACTGAAGTGAACTTCCTCCAGTTATGTATGCTACTGTACAGAAGCCGTACATCAGGCACTCTTCTAGCCAGTGTTAGACTGGCCAATAAAAAAGATATTTACACACACCGGACAGAGGAAGAACTTTGCCTAGAACGCCGGCATCCTGGAGTCACCTCGTCACTGTTGATGTTGAGACTGGTGTTTGGTGAATAATACTATTAAATGATGGACCTGTGAGGAGTCTGATTCACTAATTAAACACTAATGTATTTGTCCTCTTACTCAGTTGTGCACCTGGGCCTCACACTCCATTTCATAATGAATCAATATTTCAACATCAACCTTATTTGTCAGCACTCTCCCCTGTCACACCTTTCCTTCAGTTTGTAGTAGTTGGTTATGACTCAGTATGGCCATCTATGATTCAGTATGGCCATCTATGATTCAGTATGGCCATCTATGATTCAGTATGGCCATCTATGATTCAGTATGGCCATCTATGGTTCAGTATGTAGTGGTTGGTTATGACTCAGTATGGCCATCTATGGTTCAGTATGTAGTGGTTGGTTATGACTCAGTATGGCCATCTATGGTTCAGTATGTAGTGGTTGGTTATGACTCGGTATGGCCATCTATGGTTCAGTATGTAGTGGTCGGTTATGACTCGGTATGGCCATCTATGGTTCAGTATGTAGTGGTTGGTTATGACTCGGTATGGCCATCTATGGTTCAGTATGTAGTGGTTGGTTATGACTCAGTATGGCCATCTATGGTTCAGTATGTAGTGGTTGGTTATGACTCAGTATGGCCATCTATGGTTCAGTATGTAGTGGTTGGTTATGACTCAGTATGGCCATCTATGATTCAGAATGTAGTGGTTGGTTATGATTCAGTATGTCCATCTATGATTCAGTATGGCCATCTATGATTCAGAATGTTGTGGTTGGTTATGATTCAGTATGGCCATCTATGGTTCAGTATGTAGTGGTTGGTTACTTATGACTCAGTATGGCCATCTATGATTCAGTATGGCCATCTATGATTCAGTATGGCCATCTATGGTTCAGTATGTAGTGGTTGGTTATGATTCAGTATGGCCATCTATGGTTCAGTATGTAGTGGTTGGTTATGATTCAGCATGGCCATGCTACTAGTCCACTCCAGTGAAGGGAGTGCCACCCACATGGGCATTCAAGTGTCTAAATGCCTGTGATCAGATAGGATTGAACTAGTCCACACCCCTTCCATGTCTGGTGTGAATGAGGACAGCCAGGCGTCTGGTCTTGACCACAGCCCTCCTACACTCGGGTCAGGGACATTCAGACAGCTAACAAATTCAGTTCCTGGCCTGCTTACTAGGATTTAACATTTAATAACGCAGGGAAGAGTGTCTTAACTGTATTTCCATGACATTTTACGATCTTATTGTTATTTATTTATTTCAGTTTATTCTGGCTCGCTCGCCCGGCCCTGGCAGTGATCAGTGGGATGCACGTCCTCTGTTCTGCCTCTCAATTCAGAAATCCAGCAGACCTACTTAATTTCCTAAGATCGTGAATAAGCTACCTATCCTCTGTGTTAGTTCCCTGGAGGGAGTGCGAGCGGCGGGGGTTGTGTTCGGCTCAGGGAAGCAGAAATACTGCAGCCTGTCAAATTATCCCTGACACTGACTGAGCCCAACGTCTCCCCCCTACCTCACTGTGTGGTGGGGCGACTCGGTTAATGCCAAGGCCATTAGAGAATCGGCGTGGCGGTTTGGAGCACCTCACTACTGCAGTGGGAACCGAAATGACAGGGCAACCTGCTTTCACTCGGTTGACACGTGTCTCATGGTAAAGCTGTCGGGGCAAAAAATATAAGTGGTGCGATTTCATTCTGGGAACAACTGCGATAAGGACTGCTCAATATAACCTTCAAAGTGTTGAGGTGTCAACCGAGTGAGCTGTAGTTGATTGATATCACATGGAGTAGCTAAATGGGCTTTGTTGTGTTTATTGTCCAAATGGGCCTTTATTGTGTACATATTCATGTATATTTAGAAAAGCTGTGTGTGTGTGTGTTTCATGTGTGTTTCACTTATGCTGGTTCCCTCTGTCCTAATCCTCTGTTATATAAGTCTACTTGTCATCGTGCGGTTCTCTAGTGGTTCACAGTCAGACCAGACCTCAGCCTGTGGGGTTTGACGGGCTGAACTGCTGCCAGATCCAATAGGGGAAAATTGTTCCATTTGAAGATAAGCAAAATGTCAGTTCTAACAGGAAATGGCAGATATGTGTAGTAGGGAAAGCTTCAGCGCTACAGAAAAACACAACATCCAGCAACAATATCCAGGATATTTTCAACTTAAAGGGCAATTTCCCTTTTTTACAACTTAATTGGTCGCTAACTCTGGAAATGGGCCAAGAAAAAATGTGATTGATTGTTTGTTTGCCTTTGAACAGTCATTGCAAACATCAGATTTTTTGTTAGTGTTGGCAAAAATCAGCTGACGTTCGCCATTGGCTGTTTAAATATAACTAAACCACAGGTTACTGCTTGTCCCGGTTTACGGACAACTTACAGAGTGAGGAACCATCAAGTGGTAAAAATGTAACCTCGTCAATTGAACTGTACGTAATTATAGCTTTCTATGTGGTCAAAGTAGGTCTATATGAGTAACAATGCTCTTCCCTCTCTCTTCACAGGTGCACTGGGTGTGTGGGTATTGGGTCCTTTCTGCCACAGTGCCCCTAGTGGGTGAAAGTCAGAAGTGCCTCCTGTCTACTCTGACATCTCTGTGCTAAACTACAATGGAGGGGGGAGGTGTGGACAATCTCATTGACTTTGACATCCCCTCATGTTCATCTGCAGAGGCTCCCAGTGGGATGTTGGTCCACACAGACATTTTCTCTGTTGAGCCACGGGGGCCAGGCCCTACCTCCACGGGCCCCCTAGAGCCCATGCTGCCGGAGCCCCTGGCCCCCATGCCCAGCCCCTACCACCACCCACGGGGAGAAGACAGAGACAGCGATGCCACCGAGTCGGCAGACAGTGACAATGACATGGACCCACACTCCCAGCAGTGGAAATTCAGACGGTCATCTTCCTCGTCCAATCACAGCGCGGAGGGCGGGGCAGAGGCAGCTGAGAACCGGGCGTTTATGAAGGCCTATGTGGAGAAGGTGTTTAACGGGAGGTGAGGTCCTGTGTTTAGTGCATTCATGTAGGGGACTGAAGCCGAAGTTTAAGGTTGGCTCGTATAAGAAAGTCCCGTAGACGGCAGTAATAAGTAGGATTTAGTGTTTTTGACATTTTTACGTGATTCTTAAAATTCTTTTTTGGGGATCTTTGAAATGAAGTAGCGGTAAAGTCACTGCCTCAGAGTTTGCTGTGTCAATGCCAGACTTGATTTTGAATAAATCAACCAATGACATTTATTTTTTACTGCCTTTTTCACCATGTAGTTGTAACAAAGTTGGAGAAGTGGGTGGCTCAGTGGTAGTGTGCATGCTTTGTGTGTATGACGTCCTGGGTTCAATCCCTAGCTTCTCCCCAGGTCGCTGTTGCAAAGGAGAATTTGTTCTCAATCGGCCGACCTGGTTCAATAAAGGTTGAATACAATTTTTCTGCTTTTACAAACACCCAGCCTAAAACCTGACAGAGCACACATCAACAAGTTGATACACAGCGGCTACGGAAAACTCCTTGTTGGGTCGAATTTAGGAAGAAACCTAGAGAAGAACCAGGCTCTGAGGGGTGGCCAGTCCTCTTCAAGCTGTGCTGAGTGAAATTATATTAGTTTAATACTTATTTAATGCATTTTTTAATGCAGAGAGTCTTATAAAATAGTCCAGGTCAAGTACATGACCAGTCTGAAATGGACAACTGTGAGGGTGAAAGGGACAACCGTGAGGGTGAAAGGGACAACCGTGAGGGTGAAAGGGACAACCGTGAGGGTGAAAGGGACAACCGTGAGGGTGAAAGGGACAACCGTGAGGGTGAAAGGGACAACCGTGAGGGTGAAAGGGACAACCGTGAGGGTGAAAGGGACAACCGTGAGGGTGAACCGTGAGGGTGAAAGGGACAACCGTGAGGGTGAAAGGGACAACCGTGAGGGTGAAAGGGACAACTGTGAGGGTGAGGGTGAAAGGGACAACCGTGAGGGTGAAAGGGACAACCGTGAGGGTGAAAGGGACAACCGTGAGGGTGAAAGGGACAACCGTGGGTGAAAGGGACCACCGTGAGGGTGAAAGGGACCACTGTGAGGGTGAAAGGGACCACTGTGATGGTGAAAGGGACCACTGTGAGGGTGAAAGGGACAACTGTGAGGGTGAAAGGGACAACTGTGAGGGTGAAAGGGACAACCGTCCTTAGGGCCGGTCGGTGCCAAAGTGTGTCACAGGGAAAGGTTTGACACCCTCTTTCCCTACGCCCCCGCACAACTGCATAGCAGCGTAAATCCTGAAACTGATACAGCGGGGGTCCAGTGATACCGTGGCCCTGAACGAAGTGAACTCGAACAGAGCCCTTCAAGCCAGAAAACAATACACCCACTTTACCAAGCATCAACCAAGGGACACCAGTCAATGCAACCCCTCTGAATCTGCCCTGTGGATCTGCTCACGGGTCTCCCAGCAGGGGCTGCAATTTAGAGGGAGGCGGTAACTTGGCCTCGGTTGGAGGACAGTAAACAAATCAGATTTATAATTTTTTTGTCATTGTGGTTGAGCAACTTTGTATCTTTAATGAAATAATATATTGCCTGTGTTCATTTTGTTCCATTTTTCACATTTTTATCGCAGGTGCCAATCATTTAATAGCTGACTGCACTTTTTGCCGATGCACCATGCAGCCATTTTGACATGACAGAGAGGAGCAGATAGCTGTTACATTAGAGAATCCGCAGTTTCCGGATAATGTGATTGGCCGTCCTCAGGCCTAGATTTACTCCTTCAAGTACAGTTCCCTCAGAAAAGCCTTCATCTGTCTAGTCTGCAGGGCACCAGTGTTGTCTTTCCGATTTTTGTTCAGGATATTCATCGAAGTGTTTCATTTAACATTTGTGAAAAGAAAATAGCTAATTAATCTCAAATGTTAACCCAACAAAAACGGGTCCCCAAAAACATAGCCAATTAGCCATTACATCTCCAAACATTTAATCCAAACCGTAAAATGGGTTGTTCTGGAGAGAGCTCCGTGACTTTAAGGACAACACTGTCATATTAGATTAGATTTAGATTAAACTTTATTGTCATTGGACAGTACAAGTACAGGACAATGAAATGCAGTTTGCATCCGACCAGTGCAAAAGATACGGAGTACAGTGTGAGTAAGGATGTGTAATAGACATGGATAAGTAAATGTGCAGGTATTCAGTACAGTGTGAGGATGTGCAATAGACATGGATAAGTAAATGTGCAGGTATTCAGTACAGTGTGAGGATGTGTAATAGACATGGATAAGTCAATGTGCAGGTATTTAGTTCTGCGATGTAGCAAATTGTAAATGTGCAGAGGGCAATACAAGCTGAGAACATCAATAAGTTGATCAGAGGTAGGAATCTGTAGGTCTGTACAGTATTGGTCTGTGTGTATCTGGTAGGTCTGTACAGTATTGGTCTGTGTGTATCTGGTAGGTCTGTACAGTATTGGTCTGTGTGTATCTGGTAGGTCTGTACAGTATTGGTCTGTGTGTATCTGGTAGGTCTGTACAGTATTGGTCTGTGTGTATCTGGTAGGTCTGTACAGTGTTGGTCTGTGTGTATCTGGTAGGTCTGTACAGTGTTGGTCTGTGTGTATCTGGTAGGTCTGTACAGTATTGGTCTGTGTGTATCTGGTAGGTCTGTACAGTATTGGTCTGTGTGTATCTGGTAGGTCTGTATAGTATTGGTCTGTGTGTATCTGGTAGGTCTGTACAGTATTGGTCTGTGTGTATCTGGTAGGTCTGTATAGTATTGGTCTGTGTGTATCTGGTAGGTCTGTACAGTATTGGTCTGTGTGTATCAGTGTACAGTGTTGGTATGTGTGTATCTGGTAGGTCTGTACAGTATTGGTCTATATAAACCTCAGTTCTTTGTCAGGGAGGACTTTGACCCGGAGGAGAAGGCTCGGTTTGGGCAGCTGTGCAGTGGAGAGAACGGCAGTGGAAGGGAGTGGTTTGCCAGATACGTCAGTGCACAGGTCAGTTCCAGTTGATAATCACAGGGATCTGTCTCAACACAGAGTCACACAGTCGTCATCATCATGTGCCCTACATATTCTATATGACTCACTGTAACACAGTCATGTGCCCTACATATTCTATATGACTCACTGTAACACAGTCATGTGCCCTACATATTCTATATGACTCACTGTAACACAGTCATGTGCCCTACATATTCTATATGACTCACTGTAACACAGTCATGTGCCCTACATATTCTATATGACTCACTGTAACACAGTCATGTGCCCTACATATTCTATTTGACTCACTGTAACACAGTCATGTGCCCTACATATTCTATATGACTCACTGTAACACAGTCATGTGCCCTACATATTCTATTTGACTCACTGTAACACAGTCATGTGCCCTACATATTCTATATGACTCATGTGCCCTACATATTCTGTAACTCACTGTAACACAGTCATGTGCCCTACATATTCTATATGACTCACTGTAACACAGTCATGTGCCCTACATATTCTATATGACTCACTGTAACACAGTCATGTGCCCTACATATTCTATTTGACTCACTGTAACACAGTCATGTGCCCTACATATTCTATTTGACTCACTGTAACACAGTCATGTGCCCTACATATTCTATTTGACTCACTGTAACACAGTCATGTGCCCTACATATTCTATTTGACTCACTGTAACACAGTCATGTGCCCTACATATTCTATATGACTCACTGTAACACAGTCATGTGCCCTACATATTCTATATGACTCACTGTAACACAGTCATGTGCCCTACATATTCTATTTGACTCACTGTAACACAGTCATGTGCCCTACATATTCTATATGACTCACTGTAACACAGTCATGTGCCCTACATATTCTATTTGACTCACTGTAACACAGTCATGTGCCCTACATATTCTATTTGACTCACTGTAACACAGTCATGTGCCCTACATATTCTATATGACTCACTGTAACACAGTCATGTGCCCTACATATTCTATATGACTCACTGTAACACAGTCATGTGCCCTACATATTCTATTTGACTCACTGTAACACAGTCATGTGCCCTACATATTCTATTTGACTCACTGTAACACAGTCATGTGCCCTACATATTCTATTTGACTCACTGTAACACAGTCATGTGCCCTACATATTCTATATGACTCACTGTAACACAGTCATGTGCCTTACATATTCATGACTCACTGTAACACAGCCATGTGCCCATACATATTCTATTTGACTCACTGTAACACAGTCATGTGCCCTACATATTCTATATGACTCACTGTAACACAGTCATGTGCCCTACATATTCTATTTGACTCACTGTAACACAGTCATGTGCCCTACATATTCTATATGACTCACTGTAACACAGTCATGTGCCCTACATATTCTATATGACTCACTGTAACACAGTCATGTGCCCTACATATTCTATTTGACTCACTGTAACACAGTCATGTGCCCTACATATTCTATTTGACTCACTGTAACACAGTCATGTGCCCTACATATTCTATATGACTCACTGTAACACAGTCATGTGCCCTACATATTCTATTTGACTCACTGTAACACAGTCATGTGCCCTACATATTCTATATGACTCACTGTAACACAGTCATGTGCCCTACATATTCTATTTGACTCACTGTAACACAGTCATGTGCCCTACATATTCTATATGACTCACTGTAACACAGTCATGTGCCCTACATATTCTATTTGACTCACTGTAACACAGTCATGTGCCCTACATATTCTATTTGACTCACTGTAACACAGTCATGTGCCCTACATATTCTATATGACTCACTGTAACACAGTCATGTGCCCTACATATTCTATATGACTCACTGTAACACAGTCATGTGCCCTACATATTCTATTTGACTCACTGTAACACAGTCATGTGCCCTACATATTCTATATGACTCACTGTAACACAGTCATGTGCCCTACATATTCTATATGACTCACTGTAACACAGTCATGTGCCCTACATATTCTATATGACTCACTGTAACACAGTCATGTGCCCTACATATTCTATATGACTCACTGTAACACAGTCATGTGCCCTACATATTCTATTTGACTCACTGTAACACAGTCATGTGCCCTACATATTCTATATGACTCACTGTAACACAGTCATGTGCCCTACATATTCTATATGACTCACTGTAACACAGTCATGTGCCCTACATATTCTATTTGACTCCTAACACAGTCATGTGCCCTACATATTAACACAGTCATGTGCCCTACATATTCTATTTGACTCACTGTAACACAGTCATGTGCCCTACATATTCTATTTGACTCACTGTAACACAGTCATGTGCCCTAC